GCAGTCAGTGGTAGAACACAAGGGGCCAGGGTTCTCTCTGCACCTATTCCTTTGGGATAGTTGTGTCAATATCGCCCTCATGTTCAAGTTAAAAGGAGCAAAGCAAAAAGTTACTTTTTTTTTTTTTTAAAGATTTTATTTATTTGACAAAGATCACAATCAGGCAGAGAGGAAGGGAAGCAGGCTCCCTGCTGAGCAGAGAGCACAATGTGGGGCTCAATCCCATGACCCCCAAGACACCCCATGGCCCCCATGGCCCTGGGATAATGACCTGAGCTAAAGGCAGAGGCTTCAATCCTCTGAGCCACCCAGGCGCCCCCAAAAAGTTACTCTTCTAAAAGCTAGGCAAGGCCTCTGTATGAACGCACGTTCTTGATTCAGCTGATTCTTGGGGATTTTGCCGCCATTTCTCAGCTGGTTAACTTTTTCTTTCTCTTTCTTTCTCTTGAGGCCAAGCCTTGTGGTTCCTGCGGATGGGAATCAAGCAGGATCAAAATGCTCTTACGCATTGCTCCTGAGACTGTGGAAGGCCTTCGGTGAAACAGATATGAAGGCTAGGCTTTCTGAGTGTGGGGTGGAGACCTGTGGGGAAAGAGGACCCTCTGTGGGGCCCATTTCCTTCTCAGGGACAATCCCTGAAGCCATCTTGGAAGAAAAACTTGAGGGTGCCTGGGTGGCTCAGTGGGTTAAGCTGCTGCCTTCGGCTCAGGTCATGATCTCAAGGTCCTGGGATCGAGTCCCGCATCGGGCTCTCTGCTCAGTGGGGAGCCTGCTTCCTCCTCTCTCTCTCTCTCTCTCTGCCTGCCTCTCCATCTACTTGTGATCTCTCTCTGTCAAATAAATAAATAAAAATCTTTAAAAAAAAAAGAAAAACTTGAAAAAAAATGTATCTTCTGTATCTCCACTATGTGGCAATAGCATGAAATGATGCTTCACTTAAAACAAACTCCAACAAACACAGGCAACAATACCCACCCCTCGGCAGCACGCGTAGCACGAAGGACGCTGTTACAGCATTCAAAGAAAACTAAGAGACCTCACAGACATCACATAGTTTACCTAACAATAAATTCTAAAATAACACTGCAGTATTAATAAGAGCAACACAATTACTGAATAAAGTTCGTAAATTTTCTAATAATTCCTTTGGCTTTTAGACTATATTCCACCAATGATCCTCTAGTAAATTTGTTCACCAGATCGCTCCCTCTCTGTGGCAGCGTCGTGCTCATCTGATGAGGTTTCAGTTTGCTTTGTTTGTTGGCGTTCCGGCAGTGTGAAAGCTCAAGGCTCTGACCAGGTGGCTCTCTTTTGCGGCTGTCTGCTGCCGGCTGGGACAGGGAAGAGTCTCCTGTACTTTGAGATGATGTAAAAGAATGCTCAGGACAGCTCTATCTCTGGAATCTGCAAAACAATCTTATTTCACAATTACGTGATCTGCGTACATTTTTTAATGACTATGTAATTATAAATACATAATTCACATGCATACTTTCTGGCTGAATAAGCTAATTCTTCACCTATTATTTAACTTCTAGTAGTAGTAAAATCAATGTACTTCTATATATTCAGTCATTATTTTTAAACATTTGCTAAGTATTATCCTGATCTTTCAAGCTTTTTAAATTTAATTTGCTTTTTCCTAGACACGACATTATAAATCTTATAATATCAAGATCCCTACACTAACTTAATGTTACATATTATCATACCATGGCTTACAGGTCTAAAGAATTCCCCCAATTAGATTAAGAGTACACTTGTTGTGATGAGAGCTGAGAAATGAACAGAATTGTTGAATTACTATATTGAATGCCTGAAACAAAGAAAATACTGTACGTTAATTATACTGGAATTAAAATTTTAAAAAATATGTGGATACACAAACATCTTAAACAATAAAAGAATTATACAAACATAAAATAATTTTACCATCATGAAAACACAAAACATGACAATAAAAATAAAGGATTCCCCCAACTAGCACTAGCTTGATCCCAGTACTAGTTTTTCACGTTCTTAAAAGATTATGAGAGATACGTGGTATCTCTGTATTTCATACGATTAGCAAAGAATACATGCAAATTGTCTTTAAGGTTTGCTTGAAATGTTCATGGATGAAAATTCATATATATGAATACATTAAGAATATATATGAATGCATAAATTCTTATTTTACTTGTTGAAACACAGTACAGAAGTCCAAAATTTCAGAAGCATCTAGGTTTTATTACTGCACAAATTCAAATGTCCCAAAGCTAAATCTTGATTTCACAAAATTCAGTATTTAAAAACAATAATTAGAAAATACCAATTATTACAACTTTAAAATATATTCATAAGGTTCAAATAGAAAATTTTCTGTGGATTCCTATTATTTGCAGATAATTCGTGTCCTGGTAGAATCCGCTCACAGAAGAGGCGAGCATCAATGACGGCCTATTTTAACTAGTGTCGTGTTTTATGTCATGTTGGCACATTTAGCTTTAACACAGAAACCTAAATTCTTGCATGGACTCATAGGTCATACCTGAAATCTTAAATTTTGCGTTCTGTGTTAACTTCATTTATCGTCCAGGGAAAAAACAAAGGACATTCTTTGTGTTTAGGATCTGAGTTACTACTGCTTTGGGGGCTTAATCTGGTATTAAAGCAATTTAAAAGGTGATTCTCACAAAAAGATAGATAGATAGGTAGGTAGGTAGGTAGATTGATTCCTGGAATCCTCAGAGGAGGAACCTATGAAGACACGTGGATAAATTAAGCATAGGTACAAAACTGAGAAATTACTGAGGTTTATTTGGGCCCTCATTTTTTTCCACTTTTCCCCAGAAACAATTTCCCCACTATGGTCTAGAACTGGCTGTATCTCTTCTAAGATGTGAGGGTTTGTTTTTTTTGCTCTTGAGTGCTTCTGAAGGTACCTTAGAAAGGCTTGCTCTCTTCTCTGAGAGGTTTTGAAAACTCTCCGGGGTTATCCGTGAAGGTGGCAATCAAGGATTTTGCTTTTAAGTAAGCTTCATCTTCCCACCTATGACATCTGGCCCAGATAGGGCTGCTCAGGTTTTCTCTCACCAGGGTTCTAGGGAAAACTTGGGTTGTTTGGCTATGCCAGTTCCATCTCCTAACATACATTTGAGCTCTAGTATCATTATAGAGTATAAATTGATCCAGGAATGAGTCCCTTTTCCTAACTCTTGGGCTGAGACACACCTATAAAAAAGTGAATCTGGCCTAGAGACAAAAATAAGGCCCACATGGAGTTAAAAAAATAAATAAATAAAATAAAAAAGACTCCCTTTCAGAGAGGAGGAAGACAGATAGACAAATAGACTATGGTCTCCATTTGAAATAAAAAAAAAAAAAGACTTCCTGAACTCTGCAGGGTCCAGGACTGAGCTCTGCCAGTCCCTCAGCAGCCGAGGAGAGAAGCATCCAAGGGATCTTTACAGTGTGTGTCCTCTTGTTCCCATCTACTTGGGCTCTGGAAGTGCTCCTATGACAAACTGCTGGGGAAGTAAGATCAGAGACCACGGACCTGGGAGTTTTCAGAAACATGACTTGCTATTTACTAAAAAATCTGCCTGGAGAAAGAAGTGAGAGGAGTTATTTACCAGCTTGAAGTCAGGTGACTGATTCACCTCAGTTCATAATGTATCAGTTCTCTTTATTCATGAGTATCTTCAAAGATTCCAGCCACCTTCAACCCTACCAGAAATTATTTTGAGATCTGGGAGGAAGGATCTTGTATTTTCAAATAAATTTGCATATATTTTCAAAGCAATTCAAAATGCCTGAAAACAGGAGAGCAATAGGAAACAAAGTAAATCATCCCTTGAAAAAAGATGTTAAAAGTACATTCAGAAATCGAGGGGAATCCAAGTAAACAAGGTAAAAGCACACTCATGAAAGGAGATGTACTGGAAAAGGGAGTCACAGCAGTCCTTTATTTCTTAATTTCAGAAAGTGACAAACATTTTCAGAAAGTCTGAGTAAGATGGGGGAAGAGAGCTGATTTCCTCCATCTCACTATGAGAGAAATATATGAATCAGTACCCAATGATACACATGGAGAGACTCAACTTGTTCCAGAGATAGCCAAAATTTTTCTCAAATTATCTTTTCTCTTTTTGCTATAATACAACGAGCACAGACATTTCTGCCTCTGCTTCCCTGATTGTACATGTTCCAAAAGGTCAATTCTTGTTATCTGAGGTAGTTATATTCTATAAAATTACCACAAACACTGAATTCATCAACACTAAACCACTGCTCCCAGAGAATTTACCGGGTTACCGTCCTATGAGCCTCTTGTCAAATCTTCAACAACCCATCAATATAAAATATTGTTGATTCATTAATGGTAAACTCATGGCCAACAGCATCATAATTCGTGCCTGAATGAAGTTTCTTTAATGTAGGTATTACTTTCTCCTTAAGGAACATCACAGGATTCTTGTGCCTAGGAAAACTAGACAGCACTTCAGATGACAACGGTTAGAGGCCATTTTAAATAGTGAAATCACCAACAAAAAGCAAAAGAATGAGAAAAAACATGGCACTAGACCATGAAAAGGACACTTGGTTATTATACAGTCTGAGAGCTGAAACAAGAAGACACAGTGTTGCCCTGTTTGACCTATCTGGGAACATGTACTTTGAATGACTCAAGCTTTTTGCCACTCTATGTTTGTCCAAGAATAACATCAAAAGCACTGTATTGATTTGGGGGCGTACACATAAATTTTAGTGTGTAGGCAAACCGGCAAATACAAAGTCTGCAAATCATGAGGACTGACTGTGCGTAGGTTTCAATGCCTGCACCGTGATTAGAAAGACAGGTACCTCAATAGGGCAGTCACGACTAGGACTGGGAAGTCAGGAAACGAACCAGATTCCAACTGCTACCTCTAAATTTTCGGTGAGGTGACAACCAAAACAGCTAAGATTTAACAGACATTATTAAATGACTTTAAAACATTAAAAGACATTAAAAATGATTAATTCCGCTTTAGTTTTTGCTTTATTGTTAAACATGAGATGGGATACAGGGCCTCTCAAAATGAGGTTCATATTCCAACTCAATGACAACTTGTAATTTATAATCTTTTCAGATGCCTGTTAAATTTATTCATAAATATCCCAACCACAGTTTTATCATCCTTTCAGATCAAACAAGCAAAAAACTGGATCCACAATTTATATTACCTATTAATTTTTCCATCTACCATAGTCTAAGCCCATTAGAATTCTCAAACCCTCCAAATAAAGTTTATAAAATCACCTCCATGACAGATGGCTGACCTTCAGGTTTTCTTCCTTTGACTAAACAAACTTAACATTTAAGATTTTCTACTTTGGGCTCTAGCAGTACTTAGTGCTATACTCTAGTACACTCTTCTTAAGATACAGAAAATGGAATGTACCCTTCTTACATTCTTTCAGAGCAGGGTTGAAAGGCAACATCACCTACCATATTAGGTACTTTCTTATAAGGACTACTCTATTGCATGAATCTCAAGTCCATTTTTTTTTAGAAGTCACACATTAACTCTTCATCATTGTGTGTTCCATTAGAGTAAGAGTAAGATTTCTCAACCAGGAATTACCAGAAAGCCTCAGGGCGGGGGAAGAGAGGCTCATCAATGAAGGCCTCATGTGCTGAGTCCCAGGATTTTTCTGAAAAGAAAACCATAGCCTTAGCAGATGAGCAAATGGGTCTATGATCCTCCACACCTCCAAAATTTTAAGAATCACCTCACTGTATTTTCATTATAAAAGCTTTAATGTATGAGATTAGTTAGTGTAATCGGACATCATTCAGTATCTAATCCGGTCTTCCAAAGTTCTGGCCCCTCTAGCAAGTTATAATTTTATAAGGTGCTTTGATTTTACTTTTATATTTTTAGGATACAACCAAACATACATTTCTAGCATTTAAAGGATTTTTGGTATTGTCAAATATATTTGGATTATATCTTAACCCACAGTACTTCACACAATTCACGGTTTTAAATAAAGACAAATTAAATCACATCCGAATTTGTAAACGTAAATATATTGTGATAGTGACACTTGCAATTGTTTCAAAATTAATGGAAAGCACATCATTTTCTTGAAATGAACTTGGCGTAAAAGGCAGCAAAGAGGTCCTTATAAGGGGTGTCTGAATCCGACTTGGTCAACGGTATCCGGCAAAGGCGACGAAACCTGGGAGAGCGCAGCAACAAGTTCTGTGAAAGGCCCACGAGGCTGGAGCAGAGCCAGTACAGCACGATTGACTAGAAAAAGAAAGCGCGTGAATGTCAGTACCTCTCAACTCTCCAAGGGTACCGACGTCCAGACACTGGCACGCAGTACAGGAGAAAACGACCACGTGGGGAAGCAGCATGGGCCAGGACGGCACGAGACCTGTGGCAGCTACCTGATACCTGTGATGATTCTGATAGGTGAGAAAGAAGGCTGAAAGGGCGAAAAAGTGAAAAGAAAGCAGCAGGAGAGCTCTTCACAATAGGAAAGTGGATGACAGACAGCAGCGCTCGGGCGGAGGCTCGAGAGAGATCTCCCCTCTCCTCTTTGGCAAGAAAGCACCCTTTTCCCACACCAAGAGTCCTGACAAGCTGCTATACTGGAGGTAGGGCACCAGGGCACAGCCATTTAGGCTCCCTAGACCCCATTTTTCTCCACACAGTGATTTACCACCCCAGAATTTCCCAGTAATTGGTTTCTTAGTCGGGAAGGCATTACCTTTGCCTTTTTCAGAGACAAACAGTCTCAACATTATCTTCAACTTCTTTTGTACTTCCATTCAGAGTGATTTATTAGGTTATTGACTACATTCTGGAGCCTCTCAAGACCCTCCCATACCTACATCTGTTGCCAGCTTTTCTCTGGCATCAGAATGTGATCAGGCCCCAGAGGCAGGAGCCTGTGGTGGTTGAGTCCAGGTCTTGGAGCTGAACTGCCTGAGTGGGAATTCCATTTATTTGACTGGAGGCAAGTTATTTTCCTTCTGCTTCGGTCTCCTCATCTATAAAATGGGGACTGAACTATCCCCGCCTCAGAAGGCTGCTGTGAGGAGAAAGGGAGGTAACTCACACAGACAGGTCAGAACAGAAGGTGGCCCGTATTAAACACTTGCATTTGTTCCAAAGCAAATTTTTCAGGACAGAAGGTACCACAGCCTCAAAGCAGATTAGCGTATCAGTTACAGGCAGGAGCCAAACCCCCTGGATGTGCCTGAGATACGTGCATGATATTAAGCATCATGTAATGGATGAGTTGACCTTGAATGAGCTTCTTACCCTCTCTGTGTTTCAGTTTCCTCAACACTAAAGTGGAGATTGTAATAGCACCTACTTCAGTGCCCACTGGATGAATTAAATGAGCTATTACATGTAGACCTTTTAAAATAGTGCCTGACACAAAGTCAATATCGAGTGAGTATTAGCCATCATCATCCTCATCATCATCTGACTTATCCCGTACGCAAAAAGTACTCTGAAGCCAACTATGGTAAACTACAAACTGCCTACTAAGAATCCTTCTTCTTCCTTAGTAATAAAATTCTCATTTTAAGCTGGGTATACTACCATCAAAAAAAAAAAAAAAAGACTAATTCCCAGTATCTTCTGCAACCGGGTGTGGCCCAAATAACTAGGATGTGAGCACAAGTGTTTGGTGTGACATCTGGCAAGGCTCCTTAAAGGGGCTAAAGGCACTTGAAGCACCCTTTCACCATTCCCGCAAGATGAGCTCCAGCAGCCATCATGACATGTTGCGGCCTTAAGGACAGGAATGACCGGCTGTGGATGGTGGAGCAGAATGGAAGAGGCAGTCCGGTTCCTCACGTGTCTTCATGCAGCTGCTACATCAGTTCTACGCTAAACTGCCAAACTCTGGATTTCCTATATTTGAGGGAATAAACTTTGAGGTATTTCAGACATTGCTTTTGAGATCTCTGTTACTCACTTTAAACCCAATCCCTCACTGAAAATTCACTGCTCCTATTTCATTTGCTCAGGCAGTTTCCTCAGTTACCACTGGTATGATTTCTCCCCAGAAATGCAGTGAACCTGTACTGTTCTTTATTCACAGGGTATTTTACAGCAATATTACTGTTACATGGAAAGTACTATAATAAGCACTTGATGCTATTTTATTAGTTTTCACAGACATTATGAGGTCTGTTTTAGAAATGTGGAAACTTACTTATTTTACACAGGATTAGTGGCAGTATTATGTTCAAGGGACAGCTTTAAAAATATATTTTTGATGCTGAAAATGCACTGTTTCAGATTCCCAAGACAATGAAGTACTTTGTTATATGCTGACAGAGCACTAACTATCCCCGACGAATGAATTCTACTTCATGGTCTATGTGCTGGCCCTGAGAAAAGACAGATATAATATCTAAGACAGCTTTTGCCCTCTTTGCACTAAGTATCACTGGGAAATAAGCAAAAGGCTAAAAATATGAAATAACTACAAACCTCAGAATTTTTTTTTTCTAATTCTATCAAAGTGTAATGACATACAAATGGGGGCAGGTGTACCTACCTCACTGCACTGTTACGAGGTTAAACACGATTACATACGAACCCGTATGGACTTGGCACAAAGTTTTGTTTCTTTTTTAAGAGCTAAATTCCTTGGCCCAGTCTATGCAGACAGAAGGAATTCAGTATTTCAACTAACCAAACAGAACAAATACTATGTTTACAGTGCTGTGCAAGATGAAAAAAAGGAAGGAAGAAAGAAAAAGGAGATGAGAGTTAACTCACACTCACACAAAGGAAGATTATCTAATCCCAAGAAATACCAAGTGCCACTTGGTAATAGTAATTACTACAGAAACTCGGAAACCAGGAAGGAATTTAGCAGTCAGAGGCAGCGCAACAGAAGACACGGAGTCCTAGCCAGTCTACGTTAAGCACAGAGCAGACTGAGCATGTGCTACACACAGTGTGGCTGCTTACTCACCGAAGGTACCGTCGCGGCAACTGGAATCATCAACAGCGATACTGCACGAACGAAGTACGTCACGTATGTCTGAAAACGAGACGTTCCTATTTTTTGCAGAGCAAAAATCTGAGAGGATAGAACAATAAACACACACAATGATTTTAAGCATATTAAATTAGACAAGCTTTAAAATACAATTTGATTTTTGCTGGCCTCCACCTCTATCTTAATAGAAGCAAAAAAACCTAAAACACTGATAAATGTATACAGCTGACCGTCTGTTTCTGGAAAACTTAATAATTAGGCAGATTAAAGGGAGCTTTAATCAATAACAATACAAAGATTCAGCTATATTAAACAGTATCATAGCACAATTTTTACAAATCAATCTTTATGAAAAATTGTAAGACTGAAAGTCCTTTCAAGATAGGTGCTGTGTATGAACCGCTACCTTGTTTTAGTATTTAAACACGGTGCCTGGCATAAAGAAGGATCACAATAGGTATCTCAAAGGTTTGTGATCTGGCTGTACGGAATAAAAGTTAGAACCAGGCTAGGAAAAGCAGTTATGACTCATAAATAACTTATTTAAGAGACAGAACAATGAAATGATTATGAGCACAGATTCCAGATCCAAACGACCTAGATTTGCATGGCAGCCCCACATTTAACGGTTATGTGACTTTGTGTAAGTTACTTAAGCCTTCTGTGCCTCGCTTTCTCCACCTTAAAATGGGGATAATATTAGTACCTGTATCACAGAATTATTCTAATTAAATGAGTTAATTCATGTAAACTGTTTACAATAGTGCCTGGTACATGATGTATATTATGTAATAAGTTGTTTTGTTTTTTTTAAGATTTTATTTACTTGTTTATCAAAGACAGAGAGTGAGCACTCACATAAGTAGGGGAGTGGCAGGCAGAGGGACAAGCAGATTACGAGACAAGCAAGGAGCCTGGTGCGGGACTGGATCCCAGGACCCCAGGATCATGACCTGAGCCAAAGGCAGATGCTTTCTTTTTCCCCCCACCCCTTCCCAGCAAAGGCAGATGCTTAACCAACTAAGCCACTCAGGAGTCCCAAGAATAAGTTTTTTTAAACTTTTGTACACTGGGTTGTTAGCTGGTCAAAGGAAAGACGTGAGGACTGACATTAATTCACTGTGACCTTGTGTTTATCATTTTCTTCATTCTAATAAATATTCACTAAGTACCAACCCCATTCAATTGTGCTAGGTGACCCTAGGGAAACATACTGGGACTACACATGGAGTCTTTCCTCAAGAAACCCTAGCCCAAAACAGTATCATCTTCATCTTCATTCTTCTCATTTGAAGAGTACCATCTTCATTCTTCTCATTTGAAAAAAAAATAAGAGGTTTGGGGCACCTAGATGTCTCAGATAGTTAGAGTCTGTCTTCAGCTCAGATCATGGTCTCATGGTTCTGGGACTGAGCCCCATATCCGGCTCCCTGCTCAGTGGGGAGTCTGCTTCTCCTTCTCCCGCTGCCACTCCCCCTGCTGGTGCTCTCTTAATAACTAACTAACTAACTAACTAAATAAATAAATAAATGTGTATTCGATTTCCCAAACAGAGACCAGTGATGGGTCTTTGAGACGAAGTTCTAGGGATCATTTCTAAGGTTTCTTCCAGCTCAAAGAGTCTATGTTCTACTCCATTAAGAACAGGTCCTTATACAATTAAATGCTTGCTTCCACTAAACTGCTGAGTAACACAGCACGGGATAATGGTAAGACATAGTTGACAGATCATATTTTATGTGTATGTGTTTTTCCATCCCATCAGTTAAAGAAGTATTGACTTCTCTAGGGTCATACAGCTAAAAAAAAAAAAAAAAGACAATCAGACACTGTTTCCTACTTGCAAATTTACATTTTAAACATATACACAAAATAAAAATCTACCGTGAGAATAAAACCATACTGATTAACCATTTTAATTACTGTCTTTACCAAAAACAAATCAAAAAATTGTGTGTATTAGATTCATATAATTGTAAAGAGATTTTAGAAGTTTCTAACTCAGCTCTTCCATTCCAATTATGAGCATTCTGCCCCCAGAGAGGTTAAGGAACTGGCCTAAGACTTGCCAATGGCTGATCTATAACCAGAAACCAAGGCCTCTCAATTCTAGCTCAGAGCCAGAATATCACTACCAACTCAAACATTTATATTTGATCTTGCGACAGCAACAAAAATCCCAATAATTTAAATGGCACAGAAATCTCATTTAAAACCACTGACCTCCACTATTAATAAATTGATGATACCAACGGAAATAGGCAGAATCCAAGTAGAATCCAGTGCAGTGAGATCAGGAAACCACAGGATTCCATCCGTAGCTAACTGTTCCTGAACAGAAAAACCTGCTAAGACAGTTTTATAAATAAAACATAGCAGAAGGAAATATACAACACATAAGTTGTCTAATTCAAATAAGATATCCTTCACACTAAAGACTTGCATTGGTTTCATTCACTTTTATTCCACAACATAAAGTAGTCCTTCCTGCACTGAGAAAGCAGCAGCTCTCTGCAGCATACAGCTGTAGGAGCACAAAGATACATAGCAGTACTCTTTTCTAACTTATATTTATATAATTGTCCACAGGCTACTTTCTTTCAAGCCTGTTCAGGTATTTTCTGGTTAGAAATGCCTTTAAGCAATGCTTTAATTTATAGTTTCTTTCTTTTTTTTTTTTTTTTTAAAGATCTTATTTATTTATTTGATGGAGAGACAGTGAGAAAAGGAACACAAGCAGGGAGAGTGGGAGAGGGAGAAGCAGGCTTCCCGCCGAGCAGTGAGCCCTATGTGGGGCTCGATCCAGGACCCTGGGATCATGACCTGAGCCAAAGGCAGATACTTAACGACTGAGCCACCCAGGTGTCCCCAGTTTAGAGTTTCTTAATAAATGTTTACATTTATAACTGTTAATGCTTTTCTGGTCCCTTAATTTTATAAATGGAAAAAATTCTTGGCCAGGAAACTGAATCATGGAATTGTAACACTAATTTTATTAGGACTTCCATGAAGAACTATAGTTGACCATTAAACAATTCAGGGCTTAAGGGTGCCAACCCTGGTGCCGGCCCTCCGAGCAGCTGGAACTCTCTGTATGGGGCGCATGGCTGGCTCAGTGGCAGAGCAGGCGACTTTCGATCTCAGGATTGTGAGTCTGAGCCCCACACTGGGTGCAAGATTACTTAAAAATAAAATTGTAGGGGCGCCTGGGTGGCTCAGTGGGTTAAAGCCTCTGCCTTCGGCTCAGGTCATGATCCCAGGGTCCTGGGATCGAGCCCCACATCGGGCTCTCTGCTCAGCAGGGAGCCTGCCTCCTCCTCTCTCTCTGCCTGCCTCTCTGCCTACTTGTGATCTCTGTCTGTCAAAAGAAAATAAAATAAAAACTTAAATAAATAAATAAATAAATAAAATTGTAAAAAACAAAACAAAACAAAAAAAACCTCTGTCTGTGTATAACTTTTGACTCTCCAAGAACTACAGAAAGCCTACTGTTGTCTGGAAGCCTTACCAATAGCATTTATATGCTTTAAATATCATATACTATATTCTTACAATAAAACTAAAGAAAATGTTATTAAGAAAATCATAATGAGAAGCACCTGAGAGGCTCAGTCGGTTAAGTATTTGACTCTCGATTTCAGCTCAGGTCATGATCTCAGGGTTGTGAGATCCGGCCCTGTGTGGGGCTCTGTGCTCAGTGGGGAGTCTGCTTAAGATTCTCTCTCCCTCTCCCTTTGCCCCCATTCCCTGCTCTCTCTCTAATTAAAAAAAAAATTCATGATGAAAAGGAAATATATTTACAGTGCAGGACTGTAACAAATATATCTATAAGTGGACCTGCCCGAATCAAACCTGTGCTGTTATTATTGCTGTCCTTCCTGGATCCATGTTTTCTCAACATGGCTAGTTTGCTTACAGTTAATATTTTAAAATCTACACCCTTATAAGAAAGATGGTAAAAATATTCTAATTATGAAAAGCACAGGGATTTTTTTTTCCTTTTTTTCCCCTTGAGGGTACAAAGACAATGTTAGAGCACATATTTGGGGGAAACAGACTGCTATAATAACTACCTTCTGAATGTGTGGCCCCTGTGCTAAAATTCCGGAGAGCAACAGACATGAAGATCCACATTGGAAACTGAATCCAGACCAACACAGTGGCTTTGAACGGGTGGCAGTTATCCCGAACATACAGTTCTGAAAGAAGCCTCCGCATATTCTTTAGATAAGTGAGCCTGATTTGAGAGAAGAGGGGAAAAAGGGAAAGGAGAAAATACATTCATACCCACAGCACAAACACACCCATGTCATAGTTAATAGCTAAAATTTGTGTGGGATTTTTAGTGGTCATACACTATACTAAGGGATTGCCTAACAAGAGGCAAAAAAGCCTTTTAATGAAAATTCTCTAGCAATGTACACAAATTACATAACACTTTGATAAATTTGACATTATCAAATTATAAGCTTTGGCTCTGGTGGTCTTTGGCCAATTAGGTTTTAACAAGTGAAATTTTACTACTGGCATGTTATGACCAGTCTGTATCACAAATTCTAAAGGTGAAAGCACATTTAACTCAAATCCCTCCATTCCAGCCAAGCTCAATTACTTGATCCCTGAATATACCTTTTGTAGCAATGTGATTTTGTAATATATATGCTCTTGACCTATCAAAATGGTTTCCATTCTTCAACCAACTCTTTTTGAAGATTTTTTAAATCTGTTTCTCTGTTAACCTTATTCGTTATTCCTGTTTTTAAATCCCACTTTCTATAGTCTCCTCAAAGATCAAGTGTTGGGTCTTCATCTCTCAATCTCCTGTAGCATGTTTTATACAATGCAGACGTCCAAGGGGCCTGAAGCCAATATACTAGAATTATAGTGTATTACTGCACTAAGACAGTACATGAACATTCCAGGCTTTATAATCTAGGCTCTGCCTACTCTTCCAACTTTATCTCTTGCTACTCTTCTACAGACACCTGCATATTCTGGTGCCTACATGCAGAGGCTATCCAATAAATCAAACTTCTACATCAGCATGTTTTGGAAATCATTAAGTCATCTATGTGGACAGTCCACCTGGCTGTCCACCTGACAAACTCTGTTTTAGCCTTCAAGACTCAGTTCCATTGAAAATGCAAGAAACTCTCGGATGTGGCTTCCTAGACAGTCATCTATCTGTGCAAAGAATTGTCTGGACAATCATCCTGCCAATACTACATAAACAAGGTACCAGTCTTGCTAGGCTGCATTTATAATTCAGATGAGCAGCTTGCTAATCTGGTCTTCTGGCCTGGAGTTATCACTCTTAGATTTCTCTGATCAGTAAAACTTCAAAACTGTTAAGTTTGTCAACTTTCTATTTTATCAAATAAAGATATTAAACTACCATAATGGTTTTTTAAAATATCAGATCTTTCTAACACTAACTAGAAGAGCAATTTCACACTGAAGAGAGCTGGCAAATTTATACACGTATAGGTAAAAATATACAACCATATATACCTTACATATATATATATATATATAATGTAAAGCCCTTATTTTTCTCATTGCTGTGAACTGGTGAACAGTTGGTCACAGCCTAGTAAGGATTATAATTTGACTAAATACTAACTTGGGATGACGGAAGCAGGATTTACAAGTCCCCAGTGGATGACGACAGGCACAGGATTGCAGCACGGTCAAGCACCTTCTAAGGGCTTTCTAAAAGCCCAGGCAGACAACTACACAGGGTAACCACAGCAGATAGACAGCACCTTGGCTATCTAATTTCTTCTACCAGAGCATTTACACTTTCTACCTCCCCCTTTTTGTGGGCTGCTAGATCATTCTTTCCAAAATGGTCAAGTGTGTAAATAATCTATCTGTATCATTTGCAGACTGAAATCCCAACAGACTAGCACAGCATCTCCATCCATGAAGCCTTCCCTGACTTTCCACTATGACTGAACTCCTTGTTCATAACCCTTTTTATAGCACTTAATTTAATCATTATTTGATTACAGGTCTTCCTCAGGAGACTGGAGTTCCTCATGAAGGAACTTGCTCTGTTTCTCCATTTCTTGCTTTCACAATACAAAACTCATACCACACAAACTTCTTAAAATATTAAGGAATGAAAGGACTACTTTGCTGCTAAAGCTACAGAACACCAAACCTAGAATTAATATAATCACTTACTCAGCGTGTATATATATACACGTATACACACACACACACACACACACACACACACACACACACACATATATATATATATGGTCTAAATTCATAGAATTAGCTTACCTGGCAACTCTTTTGGACCACCTCAACTGATCTGCACGAACCGCAACTTCTTGGTTAAGATGCCTTGCAATGCTTTTTATTTCTGGCTGTAAATTTTCCACCTAGCTAAAGGAAAAGTAGAATTTGTTATGAGCACATAAAGGATCTTTATTCATAACTACTCAGAATTTTACTCTCTATTCTTCTCACTGAAAAATGTGGTTTACTGATTATCTCAAGAAAATTTAAGGCTAAGGATAAGGTGTCAAATTTGCTTAAGATATCCTCAGTTACAACCAAATTCAAATTCCAGCTTATACTCTTAGCTATGGGATCCTGGGCAAGTTGCTTAAGTTCTAAAACTGTTTCCTCATATATAAAATGTTTAACAGCACCTACCTCAGAGTTATTATAAGGATTAGATAAGAACTGAACCCTATACTTTAATGTTTCACCCCTGGACTTCTGAGTAATGATACTGAAAAAAAAAAAAAAAAAAGTCGTCAATTAAGTCAATATGCTCTGTGACAGCCACAGTCACAAAAAGTTTGCATTAATTTCTGCTCTGTTAATTCTTTCTGTAAAGTACCTCTCTGCCTTAATCGTGCTGATGATTCCCTTTGCTTATGGGTTCCACCCCCATCCCCAATAATAATTTGAAAACATGAAAACCATTATTCTTGAAGTCTTACATTTGAATAATACTTTGCTTTCAGAGCACTTTAAGCCACATTATCTGACTTGATTTCATAACATGGTGAAGTAGACCACGAAGCTATTACTATCCCGATTCCACAGGAGAGAGAGAAGCCCTGAAGCCCAAGTGGCTGCGATAACCAGAGTCGCAGGTGGTACAGCCAGAATAAGGATATCAAGTTTGCAAATGGCTGGCTTAGCAGTTTTTTCTAATTAGAAAGATGAATCGGAATCCTCGGGGACAAACGATGCTGTAGACACACAGGCTGTTATGATCTTTAAGACGGGAATTTTACAGGTTTCTCCATACAATTCTGCTACCGCTTCCTTTATTCGTCTCATTCTCCCAACAGCAAGCTTAGTAACCACTAGGGCTTTGAGCACGGACCCAGTAGGGTAAACGAAATGACAGGTACATGTGTCACCAAACATCTCTTAACTCACATACCCAATGCTAGTTAAATGTCTTAGCCAAAAAAAGTGGTCGCGATCATTTACACTAAGCAACTCCAGAAGCACCCGGGGATTCTAAGCCCCCGGCAGACACACAGCACCCCTCACCGCCCAAGCGGATGCGCAGGGTGCAGGTGCCCCTCACCTTGGCCAGGATGTAGTGTTGGTAGGCGGCCAGGGGTAGCGTGACAGCGCCGCGGAGGGCCACCGTGGTGAGACCGATGCAGGCCCACCAGGGCAGACCTGTGGCGGAGTGCACGCCTAGCAGCACCTCCTCCGTGCCCTGCACCGGCGCCGACGTGGCTAGGGCCTCGTACCAGCTGCCAGGGCCGCCAGAGTCAACCGCAGAGACGGACGCCACCGCCCACACCGGCGGAGCAGAGTGTTTAATGCCGCCCGCTGAGGCTGGCACCAGCGGCGGATCCCGGGTCCCCACTTGCAGTACGGACAGCGGCCGCAGCCACCTACCGCCCAGCCGGAACAGCATGACTGCGCCCGGGCTGAGCCAAAACACCGGCCTCCGCCAAAACACCGGCCTCCGAGACTAGCGTCGGAGTCCGGGCCGCCTGGGAAGCCACGCGCACGCGCCGGCAACACCGGAGGGAAAAATGGGTGCGCGCCCTCCCTCAGGCACGATTGACCTTCCCGGTCAAGGTAGTGACGTCTTGCGTCGCGCTCGAGATGACGCAATGGCGGGCAGGTCCCGCCTTTTCCACGCGGCACTGGGCGGGCCTTACTGCGCAGACACAAAACTTTCCCGCTGCCGGCTTGGGGCTCCTCCGAGGCCCGACCAGAGTTGCAGAGCTAGGGGCGGGGCTTGCTGCCTCGGGCCCGACTGGGCGGTCGCTAGAAGCCCTTGCCTCTTAAATCGGCCTTCAGCTGGTGCGTTTGCATTCCTTTTCACTTAAAACTAGTCGTTTGCTTTGTAGTGGATTAAATTTGGTAGGTGGTTTTCGTGACCTAGGGGGTAGCCCCCCCACCTCTTTACGTGCACCCTCATTGCTTCTGCGAGAGACGAGGTGGATCACACTGCCAGAGTCAGCACGTCGCGGAACTGCAGGTTGGAGAGAGGCATGCGCTTCTGGGGGACCTGAGTTTTAATGCGCATCCATTATGCACTGGTCATAGTTCAGTATGTGGTATAAAGATTTAACTGGTTCATCTGTTCAGTTAACATTTTCAAACCCAACTGCAAGCCGAGTGTCAGTTTTTATCTCCCATCATAAGTAGCAAAACTACTACTTCATACCAACCATCTCCTTCCTTGAGGCGTTATCACTAGCAGGGAGACGGGGTCTTCACTAGAGCTTACAGTTATCTTATATAAAGGTTCAAGAGCCTGAACAGTAACATTAACCGTCTTCGACTTAAAAAGAATACGCCTCATCTATATGGACTAATTTTGACTTTTGTGTTCGCGGCAACAGTATACAAACTGGAATGGAGTGAGAGTTTAATCACATAAGGGTCACCCCTAAACCTAGAGCCCAAATTGTGTTGTGCGGAATAAAACGTTGGTTAAAACAAGCCTCCGACAAATGTTGGGTAATGTTAAGTTGCAGCTGTGGTTCTTATTATGCACCTACACGAATTTTGAAATGCGTTTAAATACAAATTCCAATTTATGCTCTACAGAGCCTTTTTAAAAGAAGAAGGTACCGATCTATCTCCCTATCCATTTAAGTTTTAAAAAAAGCAACCCTGGCGTCTGTGTGGCTCACAGCGGACCTGGTGGAGGTCCTAAACCGAGACCCCGCTTGGGCTCCGTGCTCAGTGGGGAGTCTGCTTGAGGATTCTTTCCTTCTCTTTGCTCCTCCTTCCCACTCAGATTCTCTCTCTCTCGTAAGTGAGTCTTTAAAAAATATTTTTAAAAACAAGCAAAAAATAAGAAGCAACTGGTAGCTAGTGACTACTAGTTCAATTTGGGATTTTTTTTTTAAGATTTTATTTATTTATTTGACAGAGAGGGAGAGATCACAAGTAGGCAGAGAGGCAGGCAGAGAGAGAGAGAGAGAGAGTGGAGGAAGCAGGCTCCCTGCTGAGCAGAGAGCTCGATGTGGGGCTTGATCCCAGGACTCTGGGATCATGACCTGAGCCGAGGGTAGAGGCTTAACCCACTGGGCCACCCAGGCGCCCCTGGGGGAACAAAGTTTAAATGGAGTATCTTCGCCTAAAGATTGTGGAAGTAAAGGAGCAAATTCTATGCTGCTGCATTTCTGTCCAGAGAACGGATATCATTGGAAATTGGTCCTTCCACAGTCGCAGTTAAGCCTAGAGATTCTAACGGTTTAATATTCAGGAGAAAGAGTTGATTAAGGTTCGCCTTTTCCAGAGTCACATTATATTCTCATTTTAAAGTGTTTCATTGCTTGAGTTTCAATATTGTGACCTCAATAAAATTTATATTTAACTTCTGCTAATTTCATATTTATTAACATACATTTCTAAATTCATATAATAGAGATGATCAGAACTTATCTATTTGGTAAAGAATGCCGGGGGAACTTATTTGTCAGTTATATAGCTCAATACAAAGGGAGTGTTTGCGCTAACGTGCATGTACTGATTATCCAAAATTCTTGGACGATGAGACCATACAAACATTGAACTAACTGATATCTTGTCAAATCTAACACTGCAAATGAACTTGTGCAGCATACTAGGACATTTTTTAAAGTTCAGCATTTATAATTAGCCATTCTTGTCTTTACTATGTCACACAACTAAATATTTTTTTTTTTAACTTTAAGCGTCTCAAAAATAGATACTGTCTCATTTTTTTCTGCAGTTTCTGAAATTCTTACCCATCAGTGCTGAACAGAGTGGGTTCAAAAATTCAAAATTGGAGTACAGGCTATTTACACATATAAACTATATAAATGTAAACTTAAATTTCTCATTTCCCAAAGATGCCCTCTGAAATGCTTGACAAAAGAACTTTTAAAAGATAATTTTCGTGAGTAATTGTTAAAAGTGACCTCTCAGAATTCGAATTAGGTTGAATTTCTTTTTCTTTCCTACTCATTTAATACATTGCTTTTTAAAACCAAAGTTAGGGGTGCCTGGGTGGCTCAGTGGTTAAAGCCTCTGCCTTGGGCTCAGGTCATGATCTCAGGGTCCTGGGATCGAGTCCCGCATCGGGCTCTCTGCTCAGCAGAGAGCCTGCCTCCTCCTCCTCTCTCTCTCTGCCTACTTGTGATCTGTCTGTAAAAAAAACAACAACAAAAAAAAACCTTAAAAAAAAAAAAAACAAAGCTAATGTAAAATTAGCTTTTCATTTCTATTGAAAAATATTCTCTCATCTTTCTTGACATAGTTCTTACTTAGCCATGCACACTTTCGAAAGTGTGAATGCATTTAAAGATAGAAGTCTAGGGGCGCCTGGGTGGCAGTGGGTTAAAACCTCTGCCTTTGGCTCAGGTCATGATCCCACATCCTGGGATCAAGCCCCGCATTGGGCTCTCTGCTCAGCGGGAAGCCTGCTTCCTCCTCTCTCACTCTCTCTCTGCCTACTTGTGGTCTCTGTCTGCCAAATAAATAAAATCTTAAAAAAAAAAAAGACGACTAATATGAAACCTCTTAAATACACCTTAGTCATGTACTCCAACTATCATAGCACAAAGGAATTCTTATTTATGTCAAGTCATAGTTGCATACTTTTCACTTGCTTACCCAAAAATACAAGTGATAGAATTTTTGCAATCAAGGGATGTAACATAGTAAGTCATATTAAAGCATTAATGAAGCTCACATTCTAAATTCATCATCTGGAATCGGCACTAGTTAACTGAGTGTTGTGACTTGAAGTGAGCATTTATCAGTGGAATGTATAGAGGTTTCCTGGCTATCTGAAAGTAGAGAATTCCTAACAAATCTTTCATACGTCAAAATAGTGGAAAGCAGAGTATACTCTGCTTTCCAAAGTTTGCATTATACTATTGCAAAAGTTCTGTAATGCCAGATATGCAGGAATGAGTGATTCTGAAAAACTCAAAATAAAAAATAGAGGAAATAAAACAGAAGCTCTGAAGAGATTTTGGGATTTTGAGTTTCCCTCTTTAGTGTATCATTTTGTATTGTTTTTTTAAAAAGTGAATAACAGTGTGCAAAATAATTTTCATGAAATGTGTACTTAGGTCATTTGCGTCAGAAGAAAGATGGGAGTAATATTTTCGTGAAGAACAAGACAGGATCTATCAGTAAACTATAACCCCCTCCACTTTGTTCCTGAGAAGAAAAATGACAGTAAGTATAGTAATTTAACAAAAAGTTAATTTCCAATTACTAGCAACTTATTTTTACAGTAATAGCAAGCAGAAGGGGGAAATATCCTTCACGTGAATACTACAATCAATTTTTGCGAGTATGAAATCCCTCATGAAATGGGGATTCTGTTGGTTCTGGCAAACGAAATCATCTCTAAAATAAAATGGTATTAAAAAGATTACACAATTGGGATATTATTTTTGCCATTTAAGGTGGGAGCTAACCCAAATATTATTTTCAATGCTTAAGTCACTTCTTAAAAGAATAAAAAAAAGGGGTACCTGGATGGCTCAGTCAGGTAACGGTCAGGCTTAGGTCATGATCTCAGGGTTGTGAGATCAAGCCCCGTGTCGGTCTCCGTGCTGGATGTGGAGTCTGCTTAAAATGCTCTTCCTATTCCTTTGCCACCCCCCCCCTCCCACTCACTAGCCCTCGCTCATGGGCACACTCTCTCACTCTAAGAAAACAAAAACAAAAGACTGAAAGAAATACATTAGGTAGTCTACAATTACACATACCATATACTTTCAAAAAGGGGATAAAAAAGACCTGTGTGGTCTCAAAAGACTATGGTGCTTTTTTTTAAACTACTTTTTAAGTAAAAATGCACTGCATTACATCTGAAATATAAAAAATATATATTTGAAAAATGCTCCTAATACAGACTTCAAAAATCATGGTATTGTACTCACCAAGACTGAGCTCCAAAACTAAATATGCAGCATGCAATCTATATCGCCCTGTCCCATAGGTTTAAAGTCAAGAAAATATAGGTTCTATCTTACTAAGACACCCCCATCTTAACAAATTCAATTTTGTGAATCAACACAATTCACATGTTGTAATAAATAATGGGTGGTGTATATACTATCTAACAGGATTATTTTAATTATAATTACCACAGGAAAAAACTAAGCAAGAAATTATATGATAGTGGCAAAAGTCATATTTAAATAGCATTACACACCTTTCTTAGTAAAGTGCTATAATTTTATTTCATAGCTATGTTTGTAGGCTATCATTTAGCTTTTTCCTTAAATTTGGTCATAGCAAAACAAATTTATGTATTTTAAGACCACCTCCTAAATTAAAAGATATAAATATGTTTGTTTACAAACTTCTAGTTATGTTTGAAAAATCTTCTTACTGTTTATTCAGTTTATTCAGGCTATCAGAGTAAAGAAATTTCACTTATTTAACAGCCAAGGAACCATAATAATATTGTCAACTCTGGGTGATTTATC